ATCTTCATAAGGTAATATTCATATAAAATACAAATGTTATTGTAACCTAATTATGTACAATAATGGATCATATACAATAGAGTTGAACAATTTTTGTGATGTTAACGAATACTCGTTGTCACTTTCGTAATGCTCGTTGTAGTAGAGACTTTGTGATCGCAGATACAACTATAGTAACGCCGTTGAACAATACTGGTGTCAGACGCCTTCGAAGATCACTCGCACTAATAGTACTTGCTTGATAATACTCTCTCGAATAGTAATCCGTATAGTGATCCGAATAGAGAAATAGTATAGTGAATAGAGTAGAGAATAGCGGTCCATATAGTAATAGAGGATAGAATAGAAATAGCGATCCGAATATTAATAGAGGATAAACTAGAAATAGTATAGTAAATAGAGTAGAGAATAACGGTCCATATAGTAATAGAGGATAGAGAAGAAATAGCGATCCGAATAGTAATAGAGGATAAACTAGAAATAGTATAGTAAATAGAGTAGAGAATAACGGTCCATATAGTAATAGAGGATAGAGAAGAAATAGCAATCCGAATAGTAATAGAGGATAAACTAGAAATAGTATAGTAAATAGAGTAGAGAATAACGGTCCATATAGTAATAGAGGATAGAGTAGAAATAGCGATCCGAATAGTAATAGAGGATAAACTAGAAATAGTATAGTAAATAGAGTAGAGAATAACGGTCCATATAGTAATAGAGGATAGAGAAGAAATAGCAATCCGAATAGTAATAGAGGATAAACTAGAAATAGTATAGTAAATAGAGTAGAGAATAACGGTCCATATAGTAATAGAGGATAGAGTAGAAATAGCGATCCGAATATTAATAGAGGATAAACTAGAAATAGTATAGTAAATAGAGTAGAGAATAACGGTCCATATAGTAATAGAGGATAGAGAAGAAATAGCAATCCGAATAGTAATAGAGGATAAACTAGAAATAGTATAGTAAATAGAGTAGAGAATAACGGTCCATATAGTAATAGAGGATAGAGAAGAAATAGCGATCCGAATAGTAATAGAGGATAAACTAGAAATAGTATAGTAAATAGAGTAGAGAATAACGGTCCATATAGTAATAGAGGATAGAGAAGAAATAGCGATCCGAATAGTAATAGAGGATAAACTAGAAATAGTATAGTAAATAGAGTAGAGAATAACGGTCCATATAGTAATAGAGGATAGAGAAGAAATAGCAATCCGAATAGTAATAGAGGATAAACTAGAAATAGTATAGTAAATAGAGTAGAGAATAACGGTCCATATAGTAATAGAGGATAGAGTAGAAATAGCGATCCGAATAGTAATAGAGGATAAACTAGAAATAGTATAGTAAATAGAGTAGAGAATAACGGTCCATATAGTAATAGAGGATAGAGAAGAAATAGCGATCCGAATAGTAATAGAGGATAAACTAGAAATAGTATAGTAAATAGAGTAGAGAATAACGGTCCATATAGTAATAGAGGATAGAGTAGAAAATAGCGATCCGAATATTAATAGAGGATAAACTAGAAATAGTATAGTAAATAGAGTAGAGAATAACGGTCCATATAGTAATAGAGGATAGAGAAGAAATAGCAATCCGAATAGTAATAGAGGATAAACTAGAAATAGTATAGTAAATAGAGTAGAGAATAACGGTCCATATAGTAATAGAGGATAGAGAAGAAATAGCGATCCGAATAGTAATAGAGGATAAACTAGAAATAGTATAGTAAATAGAGTAGAGAATAACGGTCCATATAGTAATAGAGGATAGAGAAGAAATAGCGATCCGAATAGTAATAGAGGATAAACTAGAAATAGTATAGTAAATAGAGTAGAGAATAACGGTCCATATAGTAATAGAGGATAGAGAAGAAATAGCAATCCGAATAGTAATAGAGGATAAACTAGAAATAGTATAGTAAATAGAGTAGAGAATAACGGTCCATATAGTAATAGAGGATAGAGAAGAAATAGCGATCCGAATAGTAATAGAGGATAAACTAGAAATAGTATAGTAAATAGAGTAGAGAATAGCGGTCCATATAGTAATAGAGGATAGAGTAGAAATAGCGATCCGAATAGTAATAGAGGATAAACTAGAAATAGTATAGTAAATAGAGTAGAGAATAGCGGTCCATATAGTAATAGAGGATAGAGTAGAAATAGCGATCCGAATATTAATAGAGGATAAACTAGAAATAGTATAGTAAATAGAGTAGAGAATAGCGGTCCATATAGTAATAGAGGATAGAGTAGAAATAGCGATCCGAATAGTAATAGAGGATAAACTAGAAATAGTATAGTAAATAGAGTAGAGAATAGCGGTCCATATAGTAATAGAGGATAGAGTAGAAATAGCGATCCGAATAGTAATAGAGGATAAACTAGAAATAGTATAGTAAATAGAGTAGAGAATAGCGGTCCATATAGTAATAGAGGATAGAGTAGAAATAGCGATCCGAATATTAATAGAGGATAAACTAGAAATAGTATAGTAAATAGAGTAGAGAATAGCGGTCCATATAGTAATAGAGGATAGAGTAGAAATAGCGATCCGAATAGTAATAGAGGATAAACTAGAAATAGTATAGTAAATAGAGTAGAGAATAGCGGTCCATATAGTAATAGAGGATAGAGTAGAAATAGCGATCCGAATAGTAATAGAGGATAAACTAGAAATAGTATAGTAAATAGAGTAGAGAATAACGGTCCATATAGTAATAGAGGATAGAGTAGAAATAGGATCCGAATAGTAATAGAGGATAAACTAGAAATAGTATAGTAAATAGAGTAGAGAATAGCGGTCCATATAGTAATAGAGGATAGAGTAGAAATAGCGATCCGAATAGTAATAGAGGATAAACTAGAAATAGTATAGTAAATAGAGTAGAGAATAGCGGTCCATATAGTAATAGAGGATAGAGTAGAAATAGCGATCCGAATAGTAATAGAGGATAAACTAGAAATAGTATAGTAAATAGAGTAGAGAATAGCGGTCCATATAGTAATAGAGGATAGAATAGAAATAGCGATCCGAATAGTAATAGAGGATAGACTAGAATGACGTTCAATCTAGACGTCATGTGAGTTTCTACTTATGCGGTTCCTCTATGGTCACGTGATCAATAATGGGATCGCCTGTGTTTGCTCACTGGCGATCTATGTTCAAACTCAAGTGTCGGCAGCGACACTTTATTCCTATATAAAAACAATTCAGCTAGATAATAAATACAATGTATCTAAATACAAATTAGAGACATGTCTTAATAGATCCTTCCATGTTAAACTAATCGACAAATGTTTTGCGGCAATTTTTAACATTTTTTGAGATCTTTCTTGTTGAAAAGCTGAAGAATTTTAATATGTAACATTATGGATAAAAAAATGGGGAATTTTATTTAGTGTTTTTTTCGAGAATTAGCACGAGCACAACAAATTCACGGATATGGACGAAGAAAAGATCTCAGAATGACGACGTCCAAATCTGCGAAAATCATTCATCCTTTAATAATCAATTGGGCTTAATCTAAATTGTAGTGAATATAAATATAGGTAGAAAAAGCAAAAAAAAGCAAATGTTGCTAGCAATGCAAGGGTCACAAATGGATGCACAGAGCCACAATCAGAGTTGCCCCCCCCCAACCAGGCCGAGTAGGGGTAAGGGGTTAGTACGCACCGATCCTGCATGTTTCTACAAATCAAGCAGCTCTAAAATACGCACCTTTTGATGTGGACAAAGTTTTCGGAAAACACTTTAAGTTGGTTTTCATTCGATAAAATTTTCCCCCTCAACGTGTTTTGCAACGATCGGTAGAAGGTAATGTCTGGTTGGAGCAAAGTCAGCTGAATATGCTGGGTCGGATAGAACAGACCAACCGAGTTCCACGATTTTCTCCTGTGTTCTTGCTGTATATATTTTCGGTCCTGGAGGATGTAGAATAACAATACAATAAACAACACTTACCGGCGTAAGAGTCCCAGCTAGCGTCCAGCTGGCAGACAAAAATAAAGCAGGTTGTAACTTAATACAAACCCTGCAAATTAACTGAGAAATCAAGCTGGTATTTATATAGAAATACTTCCACTCAGGTACCAGCAGCCAATCACAGCCCAAGCAATGGACTATCCCACTTTAGCATAATGAGATGCTCCATTGCACCATAAATAGCTCTTTTTCTCAATGTTGAATTAGTATTCACTCAGCTTGCTCCACAACTGAGTGTTTATCTTGACCACGTGATTGTTCGACAAAGGAGAACGGCACTTTTTCTATTGACGAGTGCAGGATGCTTTTCCGCTAAACTTTTATGACCACATTGCAGCTCCTGGACGTATAAATGTGCATTTAGTATTTCATTGCGTTTTGAAGAAATCTAAATGAATAATACCGCCACGTTTCCACCTCACGCAGAATATAACGTTTATTCTATAGAGCTTTTGAGGTACGTTGTGAAGATTCGTTCTTATAAATTCAGCAACTTTTGCGATTCACATTGTTGTATGCTATATATTTTTCATCGCCTGTTATGACTTATTTTAGTTAAAAAAAATAGTAATATATTTTTTTCTGTTAGTTTTTACGTAATCCTCGTCGATGTCTTTTACTCTTCTGTCGACCGTTCTTTTCCCGCCTGATTCAAGAAGAGTCAACTTGAAAACAATTAAAATATCTATTCAGGAAACTATTTTTAAATGCGTCCTTGTGAGATGCGCTTTTTAAGCGCCTCTGTTTCTTACCAGTCTATTTACATCCTTTTTTTTTATATAGCCGGCGTGATTTCTTTGCCCAGACGCGCACCGACATACACACAAATGCGCCGATTCGCGTGTACAGAGCGGCACGTATGCCTCTGCACTTGAGTAATTAGGCGAACGTGCCGGTTTTAATTGTCTCTCTTTCTCGTCGTTCGGTTCGGACCACGTGCACGTGTTTACGTTTAGCGAAAAGCGCAAACAAATTCGTCGGATTGGATACATTAATTTGATTGGATGCACGCTGCGAAATTGATTGACTTTGAGACGCTCGTCATTTATTTCACTGCCTACCTCCATTGTTCATTTATCATTCTTCTTTCTTTTCTTTCTTTCTTTCTTTTTCTTTCTTTTCTTTCTTTCTTTCTTTTCTTTCTTTCTTTCTTTCCTTTTTTCTTTCTTTCCTTTCCTTTCATTGTTTTTTCTTCCTTTCCTTTCCTTTTTTCTTTCTTTTTTCTCCCTTTTCTTTCTTTCTTTCTTTCTTTTCTTTCTTTCTTTCTTTCTTTCTCTTCCTTTCCTTTCCTTTCCTTCTTTTTCTTTCTTTCTTTCTTTCTTTTTTCTTCGTTGCCTTTCTTTCTTATTTTCTTTCTTTCTTTCATTTATCTTCCTTTCCTTTCCTTTCTTTCTTTCTTTCTTTTTTCTTCGTTGCCTTTCTTTCTTATTTTCTTTCTTTCTTTCATTTATCTTCCTTTCCTTTCCTTTCTTTCTTTCTTTCTTTCTTTTCAGTTCTTTCTTTCTTTGTTTTTTCTTCGTTGCCTTTCTTTCTTTCTTTTTTCTTCCTTTCTTTTCCTTTCTTTCTTTCTTTCTTTCTTTTTTCTTCGTTGCCTTTCTTTCTTATTTTCTTTCTTTCTTTCTTTTTACTTCGTTGCCTTTCTTTCTTTCTTTCTTTCTTTCTTTTCTTTTCCTTTCTTTCTTTCTTTCTTTCTTTTTTATTCGTTGCCTTTCTTTCTTTCTTTCTTTCTTTCTTTCTTTCTTTCTTTCTTTCTTTCTTTCTTTCTTTCTTTTTTCTTCGTTGCCTTTCTTTCTTATTTTCTTTCTTTCTTTTTTCTTCCTTTCCTTTCTTTCTTTTATTTCTTTATTTATTTTTTTACAAATGTCGAGATTTCTTCTTATTAAAGAAAAACATAAACCAAAACCCAAAACAAACATCCCCACCCGCCGATCTCTTATCTTAACTTGACCCCTATTTCTCTCCTTGTTTCAACCTCTGACCAGGACTGAATGTCGTTGATTTAAAGAAGTGTGTTATTTTATTTACAAACTCTCTTTCTCTCTCTCTTTCCCTCTTTTCATGTTCCTTTTTCTCTCGATTTTCTTTCACTTTCTCTCTATCTACCCCACTTCTCACTTTGTAGCATCATCATCCTAATCTCCTACTTCTCCCTGATTCCATTTGCTGACCCCCTCCCAGATCTTCTATCATTTCACTCTTCTAATCTTTCAGCCCAATCCTCACCAAGATATTTTTTCCAAACTCAAAGTACCTAGTGAAATTAAAGCAATGCGATTTTTACGCACCCAACAGCGCCACCTATTGTTCTGCGAATTGTTTGTTTTTTTTTTGTCTCGTAGTTTTATTGTTCGTATTTTGTTTTTATTTACTCATTATACTTCAAGTAAGGTGATAAAGTCACTAGGATGCAAGTAGATTACAGAGAGTGTGGAAAAAACTGCGTAAAACTTGAGCATATCAAAAGACTAGGATTTTAGGAGATAGATGATGACGTTTGACACTGCACCAAAAGTTTTGAAAGTTGTAGCTGACAGGAATGCAAAAAGGTAAAACTCCACACTCGAGAAGTGCAAGAGAAGAAGCCACAGTATCCTCGCCTTAACAGTCGAAAAATTTCTGTAACCTCGTAGGTACCTCCTAAAACGCAAATAAACGAAAAACAATACCCCCCCACAAAAAAAAAATAAATAAATAAACAAAAACAAACAAACAAACAAAAAACTATACCTACCTATGGTTTAAATGGATTTTTTAAGATGAAAAATCTATATTGAAGCATTTATTTTAGTTTTAATTTCAAGCTAATAGATTAAATTTAATATTTCTAATAAGCAAAATATTTTAGTGTATTTCAAAAACTAATTTAAAACCTATTTCAACTGACTGTAAGGTGTTTTTTTGTTTTGTTTCTTTGGCTAAAATGGCTGATTAGAGCCCTTTTTAGTAATCTTTCATCGCAATGTAATTCACTTTATTAAAAATCTTCCAAAAATAAAATACAGTTTTCTGGAAATTTATTTGTGGATTTGATTAGTGCGACTAATGTGTACATCGGTAACTATAAAAAAAAAAAATTTTCAATTACTATGGTTAAACTAAAAAATGTTTTACAGTACTAACCGAGTATTATGCATGCACTAATCGAATTTTGGTATATAAAAATTTAGTGCATTAATCGAGGGATACCTGCTGATTTAAAGTATAATTAATATTATTTAAACTATTTACATTGTTCGAACTGTTGTCCTCATCTTTGTTGTCATGTTCACAACGTTTCGGCCGTTTACGCTCCAGCCTTCTTCAGGTGATTTGAATTTTGAATTGAACCCTTTATTTCGTTCACCGGGGTAGAATGTTCTAGTTTCAGGTGCCATGTTTCATCCGGGTGTCTCAGATATCTTCCTTTTACTCAACTCTCCAAGTTTTTGTCCACCATTGCAGTAACCAGGTATTGAACTCACAACTCTTCGAGCCAAGTCACTGGGTCCAAGCAACGTTTTTATCCACTGGGCCATGCGTCAGTTCGAAATTCCAATCACCTGAAGAAGGCCGGAGCGTACAACCGCCGAAACGTCGCGAATATGTCAACAAAGATATGGACAACAGTCCAAACCATGTAAATAGTGTAAATAATTATAATACCTCATTTCAGAAATGTAGACAGATACAATTAATCTTATTTGAAACAAATATTATTTAAAATATTGTAAAAATGCATATTTTTTTTTAACCGGGCAACAACCGCTTATTTAAGGCGTTCGCCGGTTAGATAGTTTGATGAAAGATTGATATTTAACTAATGTTGGTCTATGGGGCTTTAGGCGGTAAAAAAAGTAATTGAATATAATGTGAGCGCCTTTTATATATAATTTTAAGTACTCAGTATTGTTAAAACTTTAAGAAAATATTCTAGGTAATCTAATGTTTAATTGAATTTTAAATATTTTTACCTGTAAATTTACTATACTTACTATATCTTACTTTCTGATAAGATCTGCAGGAGAGTGACTCATAACCATTTCTCGGGCTAACGTTTTCAGCTAACATGAAGTGGAAAGAGTATATTGAATCAATTGCTAAATCTGCAGCTAGGAGAGTTCGTTTACTATGTCACACTAGACAATTTTTCTCGCCAGAATCTATTTTACGCTATTTATAAGTCTACCATTCGTCCATGCATTGAATATTGCTGCCATACCTGCTCTGGTGCTCCTGGTATATATTTAGAGATTCTTGATAAAATCGAAAGAAGAATCTGCATTGTTATTGGTCCTGAGCTGGCATCTCGGCTTCAATCCTTTTCCCACCGCTGTAAAGTAGCTTCCCTGTGTCTTTCCTATAAATACTTTCATCGTAATTGTTCTGATGAACTTTCCTTTATGGTACATTGACTTTATAAATGTAAGCGCAGTACTAGATTGGCAGCTAGGTCTCATCGTTTTACAGTTGAATGGTCCAGATGTAACCGCTTGTGGTTTCTTGCTTACCAGTCAGCTTTGATCGTCTTTAAATGCATTGTCAATCGTTATCTTCTGTCTTCTTAATTCTTGTACTTTTATTATCCCCTCTTCTTCATAGAATTTTTCTCGTATTCTCTAACACTCTGTACCAACTTGCGTCCTAGTGGCTTTATTACCTTGCTTGGGATGAAATGATTAATATATATATATATATATATATATATATATATAAATATGTGTGTGTGTGTGTGTGTGTTGTACTTTCACTGATTCATTAAAAAATAGCATACCATGATTAAAAATGACCCAAACTTAAGAAAAACAAAGTTCTATCGTTAAAATGTTTATGCTATTATTAAGAGGAATGACCAAGAGAGTTTTTGTTATTAAATTATATTTTTTCATCCGTTTTAGAACGTTCGAAATTTTCGTTAAATATCTTGGGCTTTTTTTGCGTCACCGGTGTTGGGGTCAAAGATTAGCATAAGATATTTGAGCGTCTTTTTTTTTTGTGGTGAAAAACATATTGAACATAAAATTCATCAAAAAAGCAAATAATTGTTCGATTTTGATGAAATTTTCAGAACTTATTCGCAAATGAATTACATTATTTTAGAAATCTTTTTAACTTTAAAAAAAGTAAGGTAAAAATATTTTTTTTTGATCCGTTACTACACCTACTTATTTAATTTTATAAAACTTCGAGAAATTAAATTTTGACTTGCTTAATATTTATACTAGGTAAATTTAAATCTTCAATTTATTTTTTTATAAAACACGACCTCGAAATACCGAAAATTTACACCGAATCGCAAAATAAAAAAAATACAATAAAACTGAGAGATTATTTAATTAGAAAAAAATTAATTTTATGAATGAGATACATTATGGATATTATTGTGTTAAAAAATATTTCTTCGATGAAAGAATTTTTTCAATTTTTTAAAATTTTAATTAAACTAATTTATAAAATTATAAATCTTTTAAATTCCTGTATTACTTGGTAACACTATTTACATTATTCGCATTGTCCGAATCTTTGTTGCTATATTTATCAAAAGGTTTCGGCCGTTGTGCGCTCCGGCCTTCTTCAGGTGGTTGGAATGTCGAAATGAACCCTTTATTTCGCTCGCTGGAGTAGACTGTTCTTGTTCCACGTGCCATGTCTAATGGATGTCAGTTATCAGTTATCTCCTGTTAATTCCCCTCTTCAATTTCTCCACCGCCTTAACCAGGTATTGAACTCACACTCTTTGGGTCCTGTCACTTGATCTAACTAACGCCTTTATCCGATACCTTACTCAAGTATAGACAAGACCCATGTTTACCTACAGACACAAGTATAAACACGGCCAATGTTTAGCTAGACACGGGTATAAACACGACCAAATTTTACCTACACAGACACGTATAAATACGACGAATGTTTACCTACAGACACTAATATACAGACGACAAATATTTACTTACGGCCACAAGTATAAACACATTGAATGTCTAGCTACAAACTTAAGTCACAATAGGAACAATATTACACAAGTATAAACAGGACTGATATTTACTTACAGACATAAGTATAAACACAATCAATGTTTCCCTAATGTTAAGGGGTTCACTCCTTGTTATACAATTGGACTCATCCAGTGTGTACTTGTACTGCTGCCGGTGAATACCCGGAAGTGAGATAGTGAGATAGTGAGAGAGTGAGAGTGTGAGGTAATCACTTTGTAGGAGTCACAGTTTCAAGCACGTAGATTCAGAAGGAAGTCATACTTCGATACTGAATTTCCCAGACTGTATATATATTATTATTGCTACCAACCGCATTTCTGGATCTACTAACTGTATTATTACGTCAATCCATTTATTTACTATATTCCATTCCTGCGTTTGCCTTTCATTTGAGACCGGATTTCATTCCGGAATCCACACACAAGTATAAACACGACCAAAGTTTAACTACATGTTATGAATAATCAAGAATGGTCTCTCCTCTTTGAGAGAGCTATTTCTGTTTACTGGGATTATAAAAGGACACTATACGCGAACCTTGTATTCTCAGCTGAATAAAACTTTTTTAAAGCCTACACCTGCGTTCTTGTCATTACACTACACACAGAAGTATAAGTATGACTAATATTTACCTACAGACACAAGCATAAATGCGACCAAGTCTACCTACAGACCTAAGTATAAACAAGACCCAAATCTTCTTACAGACCCAAGTATTAATAGGGCCAATGTTAGACAAATATAATCTGGGCCAATGCCTACGTACAGATATAAGAATAAACATGTTCAATGTTTTCAACAGATACTAATATAAACAAGAACGATGTTTACCTACAGACACAAGTATGAACACCAGGAAGTTTACCTGCAGACCCAAGTTCAAACACAACGAAACTTACAGACCCAAGTAT